TTAATTTGTAGGGCCAGCACTGGAGACCAAAGTTCTTTTTATCCACAGGAAAGGTACAGCACAGACAAATGCAGGGCAAGCACCCCACTGCTCTGCCCCACCAATGTGGGTCAGCCCTACCCTGTAGGGGTCCAGTCCTGGGAGAGAAGGAAGTTCAGTCTCCAAACATCATTCTCTCCTTGCTCTCTCTGCTCAGAATGCCATCAACAAGTTGTGGAGGTGGTTTTGTGAGATCCCAACTCATTTCACACAGGCCCCCTCCAAAGGCCTCCCAAGCCAGCCCCCTCGGTCTTTGTCCTGCAGGGCAGACTTGTCACAAAGCTTTGTTCATGGTAATGCATGGCTCCTTGAGCACTGGAGAGCTAGACCTACTGGTGTAGGACAGACACCTGATTCCAGGGAGAGCAGCAGCGCCATCTCCAACACACACCCCTCCCCTCCTGCCTCTTTAAAGGCTTCCCAACCATAGAATACCAGGGTTGGAAGGGACCTCAGGAGGTCATCTAGTCCAACCCCCAGATAGATTTTTGCCCCAGCTCCCTAAATGCCCCCCTCAAGGATTGAACTCACAACCCTGGGTTTAGCAGGCCAATGCTCAAACCACTGAGCTATCCCTCATTCCATGTGGAAGAGGAGCACGCTCAGAAAGCGTGGCACCTGGCCTGCCAAGCCTGATACCCCCTCCCACAGCCTGGGGATGATCCTGGCCCCCTGAGATAGGTTTGGAAATTGAACTCCCTGCATTTGGGGTGTTCTGTTTCCAGCCCAATTGGGCTTGTACAGGGATTGAAGGGTTCCCTTCACACCAGCAGCCAGACCATGTTCAACTATGGCGGAGGCAGGGGGAGGCAAATATGTCACTCATGTTTCATGTATTGCATGCCGTGTAATAGCACGCGAGAACTCCAAACTCAGAAAACTAAACTGGCTCTTTACTAAAAGGACGATTTAGAAAGAGCATTCCAGCCACGTGAACACAGACTGACTTCGTGGGGCATCCTCACACTCTTCCCTCCTGCACCCTGTGCTCCTCCCTCCAAGTTCCATGCAGGTTGCTACAATGGGGAGGGGTGTAGTTTTAAATACCACTCTGTTCCTAGAAGAGACTCGGCCTTGTTAGCTAACATCTTTCCTTTCTGGACTGGTTAAACATACTGGTGCTCCAGCTTCCCATCCCCTTGTAGTAGCGCTCCTCCTGCAGCATCCCCAGAGCTCAGATGTCCCATCTTCCCTGATAACCACTCCCCAGGTTCTGATCCCCAGCTCACCAGCGGCATTGTCACAGAAGCATACCATCTGCCCCAGGCTCTGCTCTCCAGCTCAGCCCTTTCCTTGTGTCTCAGAACCTTAGCAATGAGGTGGGATCAGAGTTTCTTGTTGTCCTTTGCTGGCAACAGTTCAGGGAGCCCTGTGACCTTTGAGTTTTTTGTCTCTGAGTGTCCTCTTAGTGTCTGATCCTGCTGGCGTGCTGCAGTTGTGGAGAGGGCCCTACTCTCTCAGTGACAGCCGAAGGAAGTTATCAGCATAAAGGAGAGAATTAATGCTGGCATCCCTTCCCCTAATAATTACCCAGAGGCTGCTGGCTTTGCTGGCACAGGCCCCAGATCTCTGGGATGGGTATTAGCAAGTCCCAGAAGGAGGCTGCGGCCCTGTCTCACTGCCCACTAGTCTCCAGAGTATTGGCCTTCCTGCTGCGTGAGCCCAGGAGCACATTTCCCTAATGGGACCTCCATACCTGCTTGCTCTGGGGCAGTGGAGGAAGAGCCAATCAGAGGCTTTTGCACAGTTACCATGACTCTTAGACTCAGACTTTAAGGCCAGAAGGGACCATCATGATCACCTAAATCTGGCCACCTGCATATTGCAGGCCACAGAACCCCACCCACCCACTGCTGTAACAGACCCCTAACCTCTGGCTGAGTTACTGACATCCTCACATCATGGTTTAAAGACTTCAGGTTACAGAGAATTCCCCATTTACACTAGTTTAAACCTGCAAGTGATCCATGCCCCACGCACCAGAGGAAGGCGGAAAAACCCAGGGTCTGTGCCAATCTGACCCAGTGTCTGTGTCCTAGGAAATGTCTAAAGTACAGGTAGATAAGAGAGCTACAGAAATGATCAAAGGTTTAGAAAACCTGACATGTGAGGGAAGGTTAAAAAAAGGGCTATGTTTAGTCTAGAGAAAAGAGGACTGAGGGGGGAACCTGATAACATTCTTCAAATATGTTAAGGGTTATTAAAAAGAGGCTGGTGATCAATTGTTCTCACAAGATGAGCAGAGGGTCATCTCTGGCTGAGATCGTTCCCTATCTCCTCTGCTCATGTCTCTCTCACTCGGATTGTTCTCTCTTCTTTTTTCTCTGTCCTAGCTGTCTCTCTCTCCTTCACTCCATTCTATTTCCCTCCCATCTTTCTGCCTGTCATCTCTTTACATCTCCTCTGCATCACGCTCTCTCCTCCTCGCTTCCCCTTTGAGCCACATGATAGGCGGAGCCCAGGCTCACACTGACTGGTCAGGTCCTCTCTTGGTGCCGATGGCTTAATCCATAGTGCCCATGTGGCTCACACTATCCCTGCCTCTGTCCCCCATGTCGCCCGCCCCTCCCGGCTATGCAATGGCATGTCCTCACGCAGCATGGATGCTCTGTGCTGTGTTGATCAGCGGGGGATTCCCCAGCACCAGCCCAGAGACTGTATCTGGCCCATTAACAGGGCTGCATTTGGAAATCAGGGTTTGGCACAAGCAGCCAACCCTGCTGTGTGAACTGTGCAACAGAGCATTACCACTCACAGCGTCCTTTGAGCCAGGGGGACGGGGGGGGCACAAAAGCCACTGGGCAGGGACGGGGGGAGAGGGGGCACAAAAGCCACTGGGCAGAGCTCCGGCCCGGTCAGAACTTCAAAGCTGTCTGAAGGGTTCAAAACTGACCCATTTTTCATCTATGCAAAATTTTGTATTTACTTATTTAAAATTGAATATTGAAAACACCACAGAAATGGTTATCAAAAAATTAACCTTTGGTAAAACATTTCAACCCAAAATATCAAGGAGGAGGGAAGGGCAGGAGCTTTTTTGAAAATAAATCCCAGAAGATTTACATCAGATGGTAAGCTCTTGGGGCAGGGACAGCCCCTTTGTTCTGGGTGTGTACAGTGCCTAGCGCAACAGACGCCAGGCCAGGGCCAGGGTTCTGAGGCACTACCACAGCACAAATAATATTTTGACAGTGTTGATGATTTTTCTTGAAAAAACTAGTCATTTTGGGGAAAGTGTCAGTTTTTCATTGAAAATGAACCTTTCTGTTCAAACTGTGCCAACCTCTCACCCACTCGAATCTCACTGCCCCTGTCTGCCTCACAGCCCCGGGCTGCCCCTGCAGAGTGCTTGTTGGCCATTGAGCCCTGAGCTCCTCACTCTTTCATCCAAGTTCAGCCTCTTTTCTTTAGACCACGCTCTGCTGCCTTTCTGCCAGTCCCCATCTCCACTGCTCCCCTCCCTGGGCATGATTCTCACCGACACCAGCACAGAGCGGGTGGGAAAAGCTACTCAATCTGACCGGGAGCATTTCATGCCCCTTTGCACAGTTCTAGGTGTTGGGCAATGCAAATCAGGCCCTTGTCTCCACATACCCCAGTATCTCGCTCTGCTCAGGACCAGTCTCCCCTGCCCCCACACCTGATTCTCTTACAAGTTCCTTTTATCCCATTCTCCCTTTACCACCCTCTGTCTCTCTCCTCTTCAGTTCTTCTTCCATAGCTATTGGCAGGGCCGGTGCAACCATTTAGGCAAACTAGGCAGCCGCCTAGTGGTTGGGGGCACCTAAAAGCCCGCTCAGGCGAGGAGGTGAGCTGAGGCGGGCTCCCCAGGCGGGGTTAGCTGCCGTGGGGGAGAGTCTCCCCAGGCAGGGTTAGCTGCTGCAGAGGGGGGGCTCCCCGGACGGGGTTAGCTTCCGTGGGGGGGGGGTCTCCTCAGGTGGGGTTAGCTGCTGTGGAGACGGGCTCCTC